TATGGGTCGCCAACGCTCAGTAAACAATTCTCTCTGAATCCGCAGAGCATATGTTATTTCCTCCATCTGGTAAATTTCTCTTACTTTATCAATCCACAGATTATATGAAGGTGGGTCAAGATTCAGCCATTTAATAGTAATACACTTTAGTTCTGCTGTAAGCAAGATTCTTAAGAGATACTTTTTATTGTTTCCCGCAAAACCATTTGGTAATACTTCTAAAATGGCTAGCTGTTGGTCTTTTGTTAATGGTTGCTGGAAAACTGTATTGAGAACTTTAAATATGTCATTCCAAAATGAGCAGAGTTTTGGGCATGACCAGAATATATGTGAGTGGGTTCCTAAATAAGTACCACAATTTCGCCAGCAGGTGTCAGGATTTGTAGGCTTCATTTTGGCCATTATCTCTGGGGTTCTAAAATATCTCATGACCACCTTCCATTTAAATTCTCTCCACAGCCCAGAATTAGTCACCTGATGGGCTTCACCGAACACCTCTTCCCAGGTGTCCTCTGAGATTTGAGTGCCAGTCTCAGCTTCCCACCTCGCCTTAATATCCAAAGTTGCATTTGTATTGAAACTCATAAATGCGTTATAAAAATTACTGATTAATTTTGGGGAGGAATTACTTTGAATTATTTTTAGAAATATTTCCTCAATGGGTGAGGGCTCCAAAACTTGCCTCCATTCTTTATGTTTTGTCAAAAAGCTTCTTAGCTGCAGAAATCTAAAAAAGTCAGAAGAAGGAAGCTGAAACTGACCTCCCAACTCTTCAAATGAGCTCAGGTGCCCATTCCTCACAACATGACAAAGTTTATGAAGCCCGCTATTTAACCACACTCTAAAGCCAGAGTCTTCCACAATAGGAGAAAAACCCTGCAGGGAGGAAAAGCTTAATAAAATTGAAATTTCTTTTGGAAGACCAAATGATTGTTTGATTCTACGCCAAATCTTTAGTGTGACCCTTGTCCATTCCCCCATGTGCAAATTTTTAATTGAAATGTTAGAAAAAAGCAGGGATTCCAATGATCTTTCACACATTGTCTTCTCAATGTTTAGCCACTGAGTTTCAGACAAATCCCACACCCATACAGTCAGGGGTCTCATCTGAGCTGCCCAGAAATAATATTTCAGATTTGGAACAGCCAATCCCCCCTGCAGTTTTGACAGTTTTAATGTTTGGAACTTGATCCTTGGGCGTTTGCCTTGCCATATAAATTTGGAAAAAAGTTTATCTAAATTATCAAATGTAGAGTTGGGAATGTTAATAGGCAGCATTTGGAAAAGGTATAGAAGTCTTGGCAGTACATTCATACGTATACTCTCGATCTGACCTAAGAAAGACAGAGGCAGGACTGTCCATCTCTCTAAATCTTTTTTTATTTTTGCAACTATAACTTCATAATTTACTTTAAACAAGTCTGATAATGAGTGAGGAATTTGAATTCCTAAATACTTGATACCTTCGTTTGGTCATTTAAAGCCACATCGCTCCTTAAGAGGTTTTATCTTAAAATGGTATAGCAAGTTGGCTAAAATGTCTGGTGCCACCAAGGCAAAGACTAGTGAGCTTTTTTGAAAGCCTGCTTCAGGTATGCTTGTATCCACACCTGACTAGGTGTGGTCAGTTGGCACCAGCCATTGGCAACAGCACACACTGATGGGATTAGGGGCTGCACAGGGGCGTACCACTCATGTATTTACACTTTATTCACAGAGCCTGAAGTAATCAGGGATCTTACTGTCAGTGAAATCAGGACATCCTCTATATTTCTGAATTGGACTCACCCAGTGGGTCAAAGGTCGTTCTATAGAGTAGAGTGGACAAATGGAACAACAAAAATGAATAAGACTGTGACTGAAGCTAAAGTAAATGTCACTGAGCTGACTCCTGGAGTGTGCTACACTTTCACTGTCG